GATAAGATGGGAGAAAGGAATGCTCTACCAGTGCTCGCTGTCCAATAGAAATGTAACGTGAGCCACAAATGTAACTGAATTTTCTAGCAGCCACATGAAAAAGTAAAATGAAAGAGGTGGAATTGATTTTAAGAGTATGTTTTCTTAAACCCAATATATATTAATAAGATATTTTATGTCTTTTGGTACACTGTTTTCAAAATCCATTGTGTATTTTATACACTTACAGCACACCTCATTTCTGACTAGCCACATTTCGTGTGCTCAGTAGACACATGTGTCTAGCAGCTACCATATTGGACACCACAGCTGCATAGTTTCATAGCATGAAATCTGGTGTCAGATGACCTGGGTTTGTATCTTGCCATTCCATTTCTTAACTGTGTGAGTATGGACCAGTTACTTAACCTCTCTGTACCTTAGCTTCTTGATATGCAAAATGAAAAAGATAATATTACCTACCGCCAAGGGTTATTGTGAGAATTATAAGATTTTATGTGTAGAGCACATAACTTGGTTTCTGGCAAGTTAAAGTGCAAAATAAGTGTGTATCAATTTCATTACATTTTTATTGTTGTCATTAAATAGCAAGCATCTCTTATTTTCCATGTCGTCTTTCTGCAAGTAGATGATTACCCCCAGCTAAATAATCCCACTTAAAATTCTAAACCAATCACTAAAGAGCAAAGAAAAATTGATGAGCTAGGAGAAAAAAGATTGTGAGTGATGTATGAGTGGCATTAGACTCTACTACTGCTGCTGGTATTCCCTTATAGGGTACAGATAAATTATTTTCAATTTACTGTTATACTTAATAGACTCATCAGATCTTCTGACTTTTTAACCTACCATTATTATAGATGCTTCCTCAACCAGGGAATAAAATTCATGTCCAATAATAATTTGCAGCTTTACTGCCAACATTGAAATACAGAAAGTATTTCATTGTCTTTTCTGTTTTCAGCCATTTGGGGCCAAAAATATATAGATTTATTATTTTCTTTCCTTCAAAACTCTTAGAGGAAAGTGTACTAAACCAAAAAAGTATAGTGATTTGTCACACCCTCTTGTGTAACTATCAAAAAACAAAACATTTCCAAATTCCTAAAAAGGCCCTTGTACCCACTCCCAGTCAGTATCTGTTCACTAGCTCCCAAGATTAACCACTGTTTTGTTGTTCATGCTAATTACTTCCTGGTTTTTATTGATAACTTTACTAACTTAATGTGTAGTCCTGATCACTATAGTTTAGTTTTGCCTGTTTTTGAATTTTATTATTATTATTTTTTTAAAGTTTTTTTTTTATTGGGAAATTGGGGGAAGGGGAACAGACAAGTTGCTGTTGGTTTGTTCTTCAGTCTAGTTGTGGAGGATGTTGCTTCACTGGCCCAAGCTGGCACCATCATTGCGCTCTTCCCAGGCGAGGCAGATCAGTCGCCGGCCTCTGGATGGCTGCTCACAGCGGCTGCTGGCCGCTCACGCTGGCTGCCGGCTACACATGGTAGCTTATGGTAGCCCAGTGCAGCAGGGGATTGCAGCCTACGCTGTCGCTGGTGACCCACGGCAGCCCAGCTCCAGGTCGAGCTGTTGTTCAGCATCTTAGCTGTAGAGGGCAGTGTCACTGGCCCTCATATGTGGGATCTGAACTGGGGCCCTCTGGCATCCCAAGCCAGTTCTTAACCAACGCACCACTCGGCCGGCCCTTGAATTTTAATGCGGATGAAACCATACATGTAATTCTTCACTCAACATACTGTGAGATGCATCCACACTCTTGCATGTAGCAGCAATCCATTCACTTTGATTATTGTATGGTATTTTATTGTTTGAATATACTACAATTTGTGTATTCTCTGGTAGATGCACATTGGTTTTATTCCAGTTTGGAACTATTATAAATAACAATGTTATGAAAATTCTTATGCCCATTAGCATGTATTTCTGTGAAACACACCTAAGGATAGAATTGCTAGGTCATAGAGAATGCAGTCTTGAACTTGAATAGATAATGGCAAACTTTCCACAGTGATTCTACCAAGTAACATTTCCAACAGTGGTATGCAGAGTTTCATTGCTGTACATCCTTAACAAAAAAACACACACTTTTAAGTTAAGAATTCTGGTAGATGTATAATGATACCTCATTGTGATTTTAGCATTTTTTTCTGCTAAGAAAAATTAGATAAGGAAATATTTTTGCAAATATTGACAAAGATGAAGACTTGGGTTTTCAATTTTCCATGCTGTCCTTGTCTTTCAATACCGCAATCAAGAGTTGATGCTACTTTTTAGAAAAAGTATTTTAAATTTTAATTGGATGCATGAAAGCAGTCAGTTTGAGGTATTGCCCAGTCTTCTTTCTTTATACTTTTTATTGCCTTATCTGTAAAGCAGATGTATTATTTCTCTTCATGATTATAAAGCTGCCATTCCAGGAATCATAACAGTTACTGAAATGAAAGGTATGGTCTGTGGTTTACAAAGTTAGATTTAATGAATAAATCTTTCCAGTTCCTCTGAGCCATTTTTCTTTGTTGGTTTTTTTTTTAAATATAGTACAATCATGGTAACTGATCTGGATGACATTGAGAGGCTGGTTTCTGTTGAGTGAAGTAAAACAGACTTTTAACAGCTTGTGGGTAATGTCTCAAAGGTAAAGTGACAGGAGATAAATGTCTATGTTCCACTCTGAAAATAGCAAAAGGCATATGGAACCAAGATTTAACTTAATTGACTTGTAATTTAATCCTGCTTTAAAAGTGCTTTGGCAAAATGAAAATTATACTGTGATTTCTTTTTGCACAATTAATACTAACAATGGAAAATAATTAGGAAGATAAAGGTTTGAAAGTTGTAAATGCCAAATCAGTTTTATAAATAATCTCAAAGTTTGTGTGAATTTTTAAAAATCATATATGAACTGAAAAGAGAATAGTGGAAAATTTTCTGGATAATTGACTTTCCAAAAATCCCAGTTTTATAGCTATTTATAAATGTAAAACAATTATATTGTTTTGTTCTCAAGTTTGATGAAAAAATTTAAATATCTAAAAGAACATGTATTTTTGAAAATAGAATGATTTAACCTCAAATTTTGTCCCATTAATAGTCATTTAGTAGTAGAAGGATTTTAAGCTGACGAATTAGGTACTTTAAAAAGATTGATGTAGGGCCGGCTGGCGCGATGGTTAAGAACTGGCTTGGGATGCCAGAGGGCCCCGGTTCGGATCCCACATATGAGGGCCAGTGACACTGCCCTCTACAGCTAAGATGCTGAACAACGGCTCAACCTAGAGCTGGGCTGCTGTGAGTCGCCGGCGACGGCGTGGGCTGCAGTCCCTGTGGCAGTGGGTTGCCAGGGGCTACCGTTTGTAGCCAGCAGCCAGTGTGAGCGGCCAGCAGCTGCAGTGAGCGGCCATCCAGAAGCCGGCGACTGATCTGCCTCACCCAGAAAGAGCGCAATGATGGTGCCAACTTGGGCCAGTGAAGCAACATCCTCCACAACTAGACTGAAGAACAAAATGACAGCAACTTGTCTGTCCCCCTTCCCCCAATTCCCCAACACTGTTCCCATCCCCCCAATTCACCAATAAAAATCTTAAAAAAAAAAAAAAAAGATTGATGTAAACTTCATTTGAAAACAATTATAATTTATTTAAACTTGGAAGATAAATGGTTAAAATGTTAAATATGGTCCACCAAATTTAAATAGTAAAACAAAAAATGCTATGTGTATGGTTATTTTTGATACTTCATAGGAGTGAACTTTGTACCAATTATGGCTTATTTGCTTTTCTGTTTGGCTTAAAGCTTGGAATATAAATTGTTTTCAAAACTTTTGAGTTTAAACTAAATTGATGGTTTGGATTTTAAAAGGCTTTGCACTCTGTATAGAATCACAAAATGTCTGTGTTTTCTGTTACTAGGAGGTTCAAAACTTGGGACTTAGGAAATTTCTGGTAAAGGTAATGAACTTTATTTTAGGAAAAATGATGGAATAGAAATTTGGATGAATGAAACCCAAAGAGATTTCTGGTTTCTTTATAAAGAAGATAAAGTGCCAGACAAATTTAGCAGACTGAAAATCAAAATAAGAAAAATCTGAATATATTTTGTTCTTTGCTTTTTCATATTTGTGATACATTTTGAAGCATATCAGTTGTTTGCTACAATGTAGTCACATCTGTAAGCAAGTCCAGTGTTTGTTTGAAAATTTAATGTTAACAGATTCTTGATGACAGTATGTGACGATGTGGACACCCACATTCATAATGTATTTTGCTAATAGGTAGCCTGTGAAGACAGATTAACTATTTGCAAATAAATATATTTAAACTTTTCCAGCCCTTTCAAACCATTGGGGCAGTTATATTTGACTCTCAGTTAAGCAGAATGAACATGAGGGACCTAGACCTGATCATTTTTGGCTTTTCAGTGTTTTAAAGTAGGCCTTAAAGACTAAAGAACTCAGACATACCTTCATGAATTGTTATAATTGATCAGCATATCACAAGTGATAAGCCAGGCATTTTATGTTAATAATTCATTTAATTTGAATGAACCTACCAGTTCTTTCAAGTTGAACGAGGCCACTTGCAACTAAATTTGCTCTGTTTCAAACTGTCTTTGGTATATATGCCGATTTTACCATGTGTGGTAGATAATCTAAATCGAGTTATTATATGTGAATTTAAGTTTTTATATACTTAAAAGCTTTTTAATCTGAAATTAAGTTTAATCCCTTTTTAAAGCAAAAAATGTCTAGTTTATAGCACTTTCTGCTCTGCTTGGCACTGTTTCAGAATCAGTTAATGAATACACCTTGAGAGTCTTGTCAAATTATATCCCATTGATTTGTATTGTTTTCCCTTTAGATTCCAGTAGTCTAAATAAAGACAAGTAAAAAGCAAAAAAAAGGAGAAAAAAAACAACTACAGAAGATTACATATGGCAGTAACAAGGAATATCAATTTCTAAACTTTTCCGCTTTTACTTTTAAGATAAAGATACAGACATCACTGTGAAAGGGAATATGGATGACTTTGGCCTGCGAGACACCTTGAGCATTGCGTCAACCGACTCCTTTGCTTCAGCAGCAGAGGTAGGGAATGTATGTTCCTAACGAAGGTTCCTCATTCTTTGTCAGCTAGAGAGTACAGTTTTGCCTTTGTGCTGTAATTCATTCAGTTCAGTAGCCATTTATTTAGCTACCATGTGGTAAGTACAAAGAGGAATATAACATAAATGTAAGTTCCCACAGGAGCTCATAGTCTTTTTAAAGAGGTGAACATGTAAACACATACTTTAGATGGATCCTTTCATATACTGTGGATTGTGAGCTAGGCATATTATAAGTATCTTGTTGGAAAGCAGTTGACCTTATAATCAAGTCTTAAAATTGTTCAGATTCTTTAGCTCAGAAGTTATACTTCTAGATATTTTTCCAGGGAAGTGATAAGATTCAACGATTTATATATTGAAGTATTCACTGTAGCATTGTAATAATAATGAAAAACTGGAAACAGTCTAATGCCAAATTATGGTGCATCCATAATTTGAAATATTATAGTGCATAAACATGTTTGTAATCATTTTTAATGACCTGGTAACATATGTTAAGTGAAATGAGTATTATATAAAGCTTTATATAAAAAGTATGATTGTGGTTTTGTAATAGGAAAAGAAAGAAAAACATATGGTATATAATTATTTAGAGAAAAAAGGCAAGCTATAAATACACTAATGTGTAAAGAGTGGTGATTATTGTATTATAAACTTATGGGTAATTTGTTTTTTACTGAGATTTAAATTTTGTATCAAAAGAGAATGCTTGCAAAGAGGTCACCTTTTTATAATTTTTTCTACTTAAAACAGGTTTAAAAATCACATGTATGGAGCATTTTCTCAATCCATTGAGATTTTGCTTCCCGGCAATTGTTGACAGTTTGGCTCAAATAAACTCTTATAAGTTTTCTCTTAGGCTGGATGTTTTTCATTAAAAAAAAAAAAAAATCGGCTACATGTGATTTTTTTTTTATCTTAGAATAATTTCATTTTTATGGTAGCTTTTTAATATTAATGCTGTTTTTAAAAATATAAACAGTATCACACATCTGTAATTAATGTGTGAATTCAAGCTCTAGTGTGGAAAGCTTTCGGTCTTCCAATAACCTGAACCCTAAGCCTGATTCTGCCTTTATTAAAGCTGTACCAACCATAATCTTTCAATCTCTCAAGACTTTTCTGTATATGTATATTTTAGTTATTGCTTTCAGTGTCATCTCCTGAATTGTTTACCTTTTTCTTTATATTTTTATACTTGTTAGTTTACAATAGACATAATATATCTACTTGTTTATGGAAAAGCTATTTCCCTTTCCTTTTACAGTTCGAAATATATAGGCTTATCTTTCTGTTCTTTTTTTAAAATATTTTTTCAACTTTATTGAGATATAATTGACATATAACATTATGTAAGTTTAAGGTATACAATGTGATGATTTGATACAGGTATATATTATCAAATAATTACCACAATAAGGTTGAGTAACACCTCTATCACCTTATATTTACCTTTCATTTTTGTATGTGTGGTAAGAACATTTAAGATCTACTCTCTTAGGAACTTTCAAGTATATAATACAGTATTGTTGACTGTAGTCACCATACTGTACATTAGATCCCCAGAACTTATTTATCTTCTCACTGGAAGTTTGTACCCTTGGACCAACATGTCCCCGTTTCTCTCACCCCGCAGCCCCTGGCCACCGCCATTCTGCTCTCTGTTTCTGTGGGTTTGGTTTTTTTTTTAGATTCCACATGTAAGTGATGCCATATAGTATTTGTCTTTCCCTGTCTGATTTATTTCACTTAGCATAATGCCTTCAAGGTCCATTCATATTGTTACAAGTGGCAGCATTGCCTTCTTTCTTATGTATGAATATTTCATTTTATATATATATGATATGTATGAGAGATATATATCATATATATGATTTATATATGTATATTTATATATAAATCACACCTTCTTTATTTGTTGATGGACACAAGTTTTTTTCATATCTTGGCTATTATGAAAAATGGCTGCAGTGAACATGGTTATGCAGATATCTCAAGATACTGATTTCAGGGCCGGCCGAGTGGCTCAGTTGGTTAAGAGCTTGCTCAAGAGGGCGAGCTCTGAGCAACAGTGGTTCAATGCCCGGCACAAGCTGAGCTGCCGCTGAGCTGCCACAGGTGGCAGGATGGCTCAGCTAAAACAAAAGATAATGATTTCATTTCCATTCGACTGTACCCATAAGTGAGATTGCTGGATCATATGGTAGTTCTATTGAGTTGTCAGAAAAGTCATGACGTATTTTGTCTATGTTTTTCAAAGGTCATTTATTTAAAGAACAAAGATCAATCAATGATATATTTTCCATTTTGTTCGATAACCTTTTGCCATCTTTCAGTGAACTTCATAATTCCTCATTCATAGAAGGACCTGTCTTTATTTGTGAAAAACTGAACAAGGTGCTGATTTACAGCCTCATCTGAATTGAACATTATACCATACAAGGAGTTTTGAAGACAGCGAAACAAGTGGAAGTCTGATGGCACAAGGTCAGGCGAGTATGGTGGGTGTGTCAACACATCCCATCCAAGCTCCAATAATTTTTGACGGGTGATCAAACTTGTGTGTGGTCTCGCGTTGTCATGATGGAACACAACTCTTTTACAATTACCAAGCTCTGGACGTTTCTGGATGATGGATTCGTTCAAACTGTCCAGTTGCCGACAGTACACATTCGAATTGATTATTTGGTTCCTTGGTAGGAGCTTGAAAAACACGACACCTTTAAAATCCCACCACACTGAGAGCATAACCTTCCTCTGATGAATGTCTGCTTTTGATGTCATTTGAGGTGAATCATCAT